TCCCCAATGATTATACTTATTGAAGATGAAGCAGATGCATTTTGGTGCTTTGAACGTCTGATGCGAAGATTGGTACCTTTCTTTCTTATTCATATTACAGTTGCATTATGTAGCATGGTCTTATGTCCTTGCATAAAATCAAACTCCTAGCAGATCAATTGCTCTTTAATGTTAATAGTTGTATGTTTATATTTTTGTATTAAAGATGGGAATTCCTTTGTTTTGAGGGTTCTTGGAGGATTATTGTTACCACTTACCATGCTAGTAGTCATATTAGATTTTCCCATCTATGCCTGTGCACTTGATGATAACTCAACCTTCTAGGAGAGGGAGTGGCCTCTTTTCTTTGAAATCTTGCTGCTTTGTTTATATACTGGAAGTACTACAAAATGCAAATTCCAATATTATTAAATTATTCCTTTATTTATTTATCTTCAACTTTTCATTTTCAGCATTTCACCATTATTTTATTTATTTATTTATTATTATTTTTTTTTTTTTCTTGAAATCTTAAAGAGAGGAAACTTCAGATGCACTGAGAGCTCGGTTGGAGTGGAGACACAACTAACTAACTTAGCTGCAGTCACTCAAGTTATTGATCCAAAACTTCATCAGCACTTAGGTATTGGCTGAAATTTATATTTGTGCATTTTTTACTATTTAATTGTGTTGCCATGCTGTGTACTGAGTAATGAATCTTGTACTTTTGTTAGTTCAACTCATTATATTATAATGCGTTCCATGAGCATCTGTTTCTAAATTGATAAAACTCAACAGACAGCAAGGAAAGAATCCTATTCTCAGCTTCTTTTATCCAAGCAATATTTTCTCACTCCATTAACAATCATATTTGTCTGCTGGCCATCAAGCTGATTGAATTTCCTTGGTAGCTAGAACGTGCATGCTAAAAATTGCATCTCTACCAATCTAACACACCACATATCTGTTGGTAATGTTTTATTTATCTTTTTCTTTCTGAATCATCTAGTAAAGAGTTCATCTTTCTCTTGGCCTGCAGAAGCACTTGGTGGAGGTGACTATCTATTTGCTTTCAGAATGCTAATGGTTTTGTTCCGTCGAGAATTCTCATTTTGTGATTCGTTGTATCTCTGGGAGGTATGGCTCAACTAATCCAATGCCTTGGATTCTTTATGGAATTTAAGGAATGTAGCATATTTCTAAAATACTTTCTAAATCCCTGACATCCTTCCTTGAGAATGACATATATGTATTGTGTACACTGCTTATGCCAGAACTTTTAGAAT